GGGGCCGCGCGGTGCCCGGCTCCCGCCCGGAATGGCTGTGGTTGTGCGGCCCCGGCGGCGGAGCGCGCCCAGGGTCGGGCGGCGTTGCGGGGCGGTTTTGTTTGGTACGCGGTGCGTGCCCCGCGGGCTGGGCTGCGGGCGCGGAGGGTTTTACTGTTGCCTTTGTTTGTTTCCCATGAGAGCGAGCAGAGCCCGGGCGCGCAGCCGTGGATGAGCAGGAGGTGTCCAGCGCTGCCGGCGAACCATGGCCTATCAGCTCTATAGGAACACCACGCTGGGCAACAGCCTGCAGGAGAGTCTGGACGAGCTCATACAGGTTGGGGGCCATCGCTTAATAAAGGCAGAAGTTTGTATCCAAACGGCTTTGTCGTTCCTGATTGAAATCGTAAGGGTTTGGTGCTCCGTTCACTTGTGGTGTGCTTTTCTTTACGTTCTGGGTAAAGGAAAGTGTTTTCTGTGAGTGGCATAATCTCATGTGGCTCAGTAAATTAACAGCCAGCTTAACTGGAACATGGGAGTCAATTTGCTGTTCCTCTGGTTATTTCCAGTAAATATTTATTATGAGAGATCTTTGTGTGATACAGGATTGAAATACAAAAATGAAAATAAATACAGGAGCATTTTTTTTGTAGATTGTTCTTCTAGAGGCCTGTTTCATTGAAGTGACTTTTGTTTTGACGTTTTTAACTTATACTGCATGTTTGAAACAACTCAAAACTTGTTTTCTTTTCAACTGCTTCAGTCACAGCAAATCACACCTCAGTTGGCCCTTCAGGTGCTCCTTCAGTTTGATAAAGCTATAAATTCAGCACTGGCACAGCGAGTCAGGAACAGAGTCAATTTCAGGGTAAGGAAATGATATCTTAAAGTTTTACATGAGGTACAGCAGCTAAGTGTTGGTGCAGAATGTCATTTAAAGCTGTGTGCTCTAATCAGGAGCTTCAGAGGGTTGATTTTGGCTCTGATAATGACTGTTTCCATGTACATTGTGTGTGCAGCTGTAAGGCTCGGTGCCTTGGTCTGCCAGGGAGCTTTTGAGTGAATGCAGAAATCAGGTGCTGGGAAGAGGGAATTGCTTTTTTGGTGGATAACATTGCCATCCTCAGTGTCTTGCAGATGAGGAGGGAGAATTCTGCTTCTTGCAGCTGTCCCTAGCAAAAGTGGGATGAGGCCGGTAATTCAGCCACATGGGTAATGGGAAGAGAGAATAGAGAGTTTTAGATCCACCCTTTCACTGGATCATTTAGTAGCTATTTTCTGTAGGTATCATAGAAAAATAAGTTGGAAAAAGTGTTCCCTGTAAGCCGCCCTAACTGATGTTAGACAGCCAGCAAGTTGTTAAATGTCAGCTTGAATGTAATGTTAAGGAAAAAAGCACAAAACCCAGCTTCATGTTAACTTTTGTTGTAGTACTTCTCTACAGTCTATGTAGAACACATGCATGATGTGGGTTTCTAAAGACTAGATTTTTAAACAATACAGAGATGTTAAAAATAGCATAATTTCTCTAGCACACCTAAATTGTTTTGTATATGTAGTGTGGTATAAAAAACAGCTTAGCATGTGTTTAGTGGATAAATTTAAAAATGTTACTTGGAGCTTAAGTTCTAAGTTCAAGAATGTCAATTTAAAATATGTAAAAGTGAAGGTCAGAAGTTTTCCATATTGTCATCCTCAGTAATACATCAAATTGGAGGGATACCCCTTTCTGTCACATATGTCAGTTTTGTCATGACTTTTTATTTAAGCTGTCACTTTGTTTAAACAATTGCAGAATTCACATATTGTTATGATCACTGCTCTATCTGATTTTTCTAATGGCCCAATATTTTAAGAAATGTTTCCTGCTACTGATCCTTTGTATACACTAGAAAAATTGTAAAACTGTGCCTACCTGAGGAGCCTCCCCTTGGATATCCTGTAACTCCACGGTCTTGAGAATTTCAGCCACTGGAGGGCATTTAAACTCCAGTTTTCCTCAGAACTGCTTGCTTGCCAGTTTGTATGTGTTCAGGTCCACGTTGGCTTTGTAGCAATCTGTTCTAGAAGGTAATGGTTCAGTAGATACTCATCATTTTCTGTTGCTTTTGAGATGCATCCTGTAGAAAATGTCTCTTGTGTTTTTTAGGGGTCTCTGAACACATACAGGTTCTGTGACAATGTGTGGACATTTGTACTGAATGACGTGGAATTTAGGGAGGTCACCGAACTTGTCAAAGTGGATAAAGTGAAAATTGTAGCATGTGATGGAAAAAGTAAGTATGAAATATGGCATAAATAGGCTGAGACATGAGACTTGCTGGTTTTTTGAAAGCTTTGACTAAATGTCTTACTAAAGCCAGGTTGACTGTATGGCATAGACGGAAGTAGGGCTCTGTATTCCCTTTTACATCTGATGAGAGATGAAACAAAAGCCAGCTAAATGCTTCCCTGCCTCACAGGCACTGAGGTAGAACCGTGTTAGGGGCTGCTGTGCACCTGTTGCTGGGAAGTACACAGTACTAGAGCAATTAGAAGTAATCTTTATTTTCTGTGTAGTGAGTTTTCTAGTACTAACTTATTTGTTAGGATAGCACCATGTTTTACTGAATCCAAAGAGTGCTTCAACTGTCTGAGCAAGGAATTGTCTGAGAAAAGTGTCTAAGCAGTCATTCTCTGGGTTTGATAGCTGGGGACACAATCCCATGAAAAGGTTTTGCGTGCATTTGCAAGTCATAAGACTTACTTGTTGCTTAACAGACCCTCTGTTTGTACACTGCTTGTGGGAGTTTACAATCCATATCTGCTTGACTGGATTACTTTTGTCCATGTCCCTTGAGATTCTTTACTGGGAAAAGTAATTCAGTGACTTTTGTGGCAAGCTGCTTTATAAGTTTTAAAACCATCAATGTGGGAGAATATTGCTAAAGCTGTGTGAAATGGTGCTGCTTGTTTCATCCTCAGAGAGTGATGCTAAAAGCAGGAACTGAGCATGGAAAAGGCTTTATTTAAATGCACCATAGACCTCTGAAACAAGTTCTTCATGGCTTCCTGACCCTGGCATGCTTACAATAGTCCCTTCAAGTTGTAGTTCTAAAGAGTTGACAGAATTTATTGTTTTCTCAACTTCTGCTATTAGCCAAGCATATAATCTTACTGCTTGGTTTTTGTGTGCTTATTATAGCTAGTGGAGGAAACTTTACTTTTCAAGTATTAATCATTTTCATTCCTGATAAATTGTGCAGATAAGATTTAAACTGGCTGACTTGAAGTTGCTATTAACATTACAACCTTTTTTTTTTCCCACGAGAAGCTGACTTGTTGAAGGAACAGTACTAAACACTGGCTTGTCATTCCCCATATTTGAGTTACATATATACTTTTTCCACAACTCTAAAAACAAGAAAACATTAATGGTAGTGTATCAAAAATGCACTGACATTAACTGGTGATTGTGACAAAAAGAACAGAGAATTGGTCTGAGTTGCTTTATGAAGATCATGCTCATTCTTGCATCTATTTCAAAATACATGATAAGCTGCAGCCCACACTCCACCAGAGCTTATGGTGTTGGATGTGCAAAAACCTTAGTAGATGATAGCCAGATGTGCTTGTGGCTGACTGCAGTAAAGAGTTTGTGTATTGTTAGATGTTAGAGCAAAGCTTTTAATATTTTTAATATTAATACAGCTCTGGAGTTCTGTGCTGGCTCTTCTCAGTGTTGCTAAGTGAGGTGAAGCAGCACAAGCAGTTCATGCATGGCTTGAGAGCAGTAGAGACAATAGTGTAGGTACAGAACATGTTCTAAAATGCTTGGGGAATTCTTTAGAACTTGGGGAAGATACTAGAGAAAGTTCTTGGTTCTGTTTTCAGTGGGGGTGTGTATTTGTCTCACTTTCTCTTTTCTTTCCTAGACACTGGTTCCAATACTGCAGAATGAATAGACCTGTGGTTTGTCTGCAATATTTTCTGTTAAGATGCAGCACTTTCTGGAGAGAAGCATGGAGAGGGACTGATCATACTCAATTCCTGTGATGCAGATGTGAGTTAATCCATACTAGAAAGCACCACAGAATGACAGTGGAAGAAATACCTGTAGCATTTCTTCATTTCAACTTATAGGGCATGAATATATTGTTACCTTTTTTTTTAATTACAAGAGATACTGTTGTCTTTTTTTGTTCAAAATAATTTCTGTAATAAACTTTTATTTAAAAACTTTTGAAAGAGTGATCATTGGAAAACTTTGTTTAAAACTAGCATTAACATACCATATTTCCCCAAAATTTTCTAAGTGTGTTTAGAGAAATGTTGCAAATGAAAAAGTCTTTCAGTTACAGGGTTCCAAGCGTGGTTGCACTGTTAGGTATTGCAAGAAATGTCTGTTACAGAATGCTGGAGGAGGACATCAGCAAAAGCTTAGCAGCTCTTGCTGGACAGCATATTTGTGTTTTTGTGACTGCATTTTCCTGATTATAAATAGCTCTGCTACGTGCCCTGCCCTTCACTGCACACTGCAGATGGTAAGTAACCATTTTTGAAATGAAAAGAACAGACAAGTTCCTTTTATTTCAATTGCACAATAAGTATCTGTTTTTGTCTTAAGGGATACAAATGTGTATCTGTCCCATAGTCTTCTCTTGTTCTACATCAGACTCAATCTTCTAGGTTTAAACTTTTTTTGTTTTCTAATAATCATGTGGTAAACCGAATTTCAACTCATACAAGTATAAAAATTTGCTGTTCTGACCTCCAACTACTTGTAATCTCTTCCTGTCTCTAGACAGACTTCTCCATTTCAAGTTCTCTGTAGCCTTTTGACTCTCCTAATGCAAATAGTTATATCTTTTATTTTGTTCCAATTAAGTGTGCATTAGAAATAGAATGGCCAGGGTTTGAAGGGACCTTAAGGATGATCTCATTCCAGCCCCCTGCCATGGACAGGGACACTTTCCACTATCTCAGGTTGCTCCAAGCCCTGTCCAACTTGGCCTTGAGCAATTCCAGGAATGGGACAGCCACAGCTTCTCTGGGCAACCTGTTCTAGTGTCTCATCACCCTCACAGGGAAGAATTTCCTCCTATTATCTAAACCAACCCTCTCTCAGTTTGAAGGCATTCCCCCTTGTCCTGTCACTCCAGGCTTTAGCCGTACTTCTGGGATGGTGTTTGTGCTGGATCTGCTCCTTCTGTGGAGGTGGTTTCTGTTCACAGAAGGAGCAGGGAGCAAAGGGAAGTTAAGGTGGTCTGGTGCCAATGTTCTTTCTGCTTTTTGTTGCTTTGCTCTCCATAACTTTCTTGCCGCTTGCTATTTTTTGCTTTGAATTTCAGCTAATCCTGCCAAGTTGATGTGATTAATGTACTTTGTGGTCTCGGAAGATTGAATTTACAACTAAAAGCATCAGCTGCACTTCTGCTGTAATAAACTTCTGTAATATCTACTGGAAGACACGTCATTTCACTTGCTGGAACATCAGCACACAGCTGCTGCCTGTCTGGTTCTTCTTTGCCTGTAGCGTTCCAGACTTTTTCATTTATTTATTTCATTGTTGATTTTCTTTAGAAGGATCATAATTGCTTCCACTTCTCGGCAGCAGACAGAAAGTAAAATATACCTTTGCACTATTGAACTGGAATAGATGTTTCTATTTAGAAAGTAAATTAACTTAAAGAAGGTGAAGGGAAGAGTAAATACCAGTGCAGAACTGGCTGTGGATGACTGCCTGTTTAAACATGGTTTCCAAGAAAAAGGATTTTGTCAATTCCATAGGTGTGCAAACCAGGATGTTACCTGATGTAAGCTGTTTGCTCAGTCAAGGATGTCAATACCTGACTTCAAATGTTATCAGAGAGGCACAAATTTAAAGTGCAGAGCAGGAAGAATTTATGATGAATTTCCAGAAGACAAGTTTAATGAGGATCATCATGTACGTCTGCATGATGACTAGGCACAGTGAGGTAGAGTTACTCAAAGCACAGATACTTGTCTTTGAGGATCTTGGCAGCTTAGGGGTGTAGGATTTCAGTCAAGGTCCTACTGACCTGGATTTGCTTTTTTGTAGTCAAAACTTTTGGGTGGGGAGGAAAGTAGGAGCATGTCACAAAGAACTTTAGTAAGACTGTACTGGGAGACGTGAACTTTGTCTTCTCTGTAACCTAAAGGGTGGTTTTTGTTAGGATTAGCCATTGTGGACTAGGAGGTAGTAATTTACAGATATATTAACATATTGGTTTGCATCTTGTGCTAAAAGAACCTGCATCGTTCAAGGAAGTGGAATATTCTTCACAGAGGTTAGTTAACATTTAGTGGTCACTGCTGTTGCAGTCAGAAGAAAAAGAACACCCTAACCCTGCTCCCTGAATCAATTTTACCCATGACTGCAGATACCTTTATTGTGTTCATATTGTTCTATATTACTTTTTGTTTCTTTAGAATTTATTACCTGTTTTCCTCCAAATTCATTTTCATTGACCCATCTCTTTATTATAGGGCATCTCAGAGATGATCATAAAAAGTATCAAATGTCAAGCAAGAAGGAAATAGATCCTCCTAACTAAAGCTAAAAAGACCTGTTGTGCAAGTATGTAATAAGCCACATTGTTCTTGTAAAAATAAAGTGAAAACCAATTGGAAATAAAACATAAAGACAGGTTTAAACCAGAAAAATAAATCTGTTGTTAAATCTCAGAATTATAGTTTCATCTGCCTCCCGTGCACTTCTTGAAAGGTAAATTTGCAGCATATTACCTCCTTAAATAACTGGTGGCTTATCTAGAGTTCAAGTTGTTGGTTAACAATTGTAGACAGAAGTGTCAGAAGTAGATTTTTTACTACACAAAGTTAATATTTCTGATATGACTTCCAATTGGACAGCCATGATTTTACTGATGAATTTCATATGGGCTTTAACCTATTTTTGGAGGTGGTCCTATAATCTGATGTGATTGTGTTACTTTGGGCTGGTCCTACTCTATTCCAAATTCATTCTTTTCTCATTTCTACAAGTAACTGGCAAGTTACATGATTTCTCTGTGCTCTGTTGCCAGCTTTCTAAGATGCCAGCTGTCTGATTTCTAACGTCCTTTGAGATCTCTGCAAGGCAGAGTTCTGTATTAGAGTTGAAGGGTGGTTTTTACTGCCATTTCTAATGGCAGAGACATCACTGCTTTGATGTATGACTGCACCCATAAATATGACATTCCTAATGACTTTGAAAGAGGATATGCTGAGAACATCCCTTTGTAAGAATCTTTTTGTCTTAGTTCACCTTAAGCACTTGGGAGTAGGCTCATTCTTTCAGAAGAAATTAGGTCACTGCTAAAAGAAGTGATTTGAAAATAAATTTGCACAAGATAGCCTTCGTTTTTGCAATCAAATCATCTGAGAGGAATTCTGGATAGTAATACCATTAGAAACAGGAAATTTCCTTTGGATCAAGAAAATTGGACGTTGAGGTTTGCGAGTTGTTTGCCTCTGCAGGTGATGGCTCCAGAAGAGTCATTTTCACCCAAAGCAGTGATCTCTGAACGGGAGGGCTGCCTGGGCTGTGTTGTCAGATCACTGCTGTCCCTCCTACTGAGTCACCAAACTGGCTTTGTGGTATGCTGGCTTCACTTGATGCCTTCCTGTTCTATGAGCAAGCTCTTTCAAATCTGGATAAATGCTTAGGTTCTCTGTCTTCAGGTCTCACCAGGAAGGGCAAAGATTGCAGCGAGTAACATTAAAAGAAAAAATATTTTGACGTTGCTGAAAGGGTTACCGTGGAACAGATTTGAAGTGGCACTTTGCACCCCCAATGTAAATTCTTGTCTCTGCCTCTCTGTAACATTTTTGTGTCTGGCAACAAATGAAACACTTATTACAGTGTGTACGAGAAATACTTCATGTTTCTGAGAAGGAACAGCTGAAGAAGTTAAACATATTTACAAAGTAAAGGGGATAAAAATTACTGTTGACAAGTCTGTAAGTAACTTGTAAGTATGTATCTTTCTCTGCAAGTATATTTACAAAATAATAGAGAGGTCCCTCATTCAGTGATCTTTCACTATTTCAAGCTGGGATTCCTTCCAGCCCCTCAAACACCTTTGTTCTTTAAGAAATAAATTATTTAGTGTTTACAAACATCCATTTCATGGATGGATTTGGGTTTGATGCAATTTCTTAGAACTGTTAAGTATGGGCATTTTTTTGTCTCCAAGAATATGCACATTTTTCCTCCATTTTCTAAGGGAAAAAGACAACACTGTGCCACAGTTAGAAACATGGTGACCCTTCTCTGCCTGTTTCAGTCCAGAAACCTGAATGTATCCCAGCCTCCAATAAACCCCTTAGCACTAGTTTGAACTAATATGTATTAATTTAAAGTAAGTGAAAGAGTTCTAAGAAGCAAAATCAGGCTAGGCAGCAGTGGTTTGATAGTGTCTTCTATGGTGGGAGACTTGAGTTCTTACCCTAAGTCACCAGAGAAGTTTTGTCTGTTCTAAAAGAATGTTCTAAACATGGAGATAATTTCTGTTTACTGTTGAATTTGCTGCTGAAACCATTTCAAAAGCATATATGTTACCATCAGGTTAGCATAAAGTTTTAATCTCTTAAGCAAATGTCCGCTGACCTAAGTTGAAAACAGCTCCCCCCTGGATCAGTAATTCTCTTTATTTGCTCTTTTTGCATAAACAAATGCCCAATGATACATTGGGTATTTATGTTTGAGAGCTTTTTTCCCAGTATTTGCTGTTGCTGTCTGGTGAAATGCTGGTGAAATAACCATGGCATTTTAAAAATCACTGTTTTACAACCAAGTTCACTTTAAAATGTCTAACAAACTTGCAATGACACACCTTTTCCACTCAGTTACTTCATCTTCTCATCCTATTTAAATCAGTTTTAAATATCCTTGTGACTGCAGTCATAACTTCATCTAAATGTAGCCTGGTGTTAGGGAATTGCTTCAGATGTTCTTTGTATAATGCTAATTCTCCACTGTAGACCTTAAATTTGTAAAGGTGAGTGTTTACTTACAAGAAAGTTACTTGAATAGATTTTTTTTAAAATAAAGACAACGGCATTAATCCCTTAGCCTTACAGGTATGAAAAGCTGTTGGATCCATGGAAAGTGGCAAGCTTTAATATGAGAAGGTGAGAAAAGTACGTGGGTGAAATACACAAGTTTGCAAATCTTCCTTTCAGCTACTAGAAACTTAAAAAACCCCAATGTGTTAAGTGATTGCTTTGTTCATTGTCCATTAATGGATATGGTAATTACAGTATTGAAATATCACCAAAATATTTTTTGGGGGGGTTGGGGAGGGTGGGAAGAGAGATGTAGATTTTGGAAAATCATGGTTTGCACACCACTGTGTGCCTGTGTTTCAGACGGAGAAGTGGGTGCGCAAAGGGTTAACTGGTTTAATGCTGCCTGCTTTTTTGCCAGCAGCAGCACAAACCATTCTCAGAGGACATAAAACACCGAACCGCTATGTATTTTACTACCTTGGATTTTATTGAAGGTTGGCTTTTAACGATTAACGAGTTTTGATAGAGTAGAAGTTTAAAGTGAGGCGAAATCAGCCGCCAGATGTTCAGCTGAGCAGCGCTGCGGGTGCCACGAACGGGCGGGCGGCTGCCAGGTGCTGTGTGGAAAAGCAAATTAATCATCGTTTCATCTCTGCCGGAGATGACACCTGGGGGCACCGTGAGTCGGGCTGCCCTTTGCCCACAGACTCGGAAGGGGCTGCACAGGGCCGCGCCCGCCTCCTCGGGCGGCTCTGGGGAGAGCCCCGTGAGGGCCCCCGCGGGCCGGGGCTGAGCCTCCCGCCCTTCCGCACCGGCCCTTCGCTCCGCCGGGCCGCCCCGCCCGTCTGTCCGTCCGTCCGGCCCTGTGAGAGCCCCGCGGGGCTTCTCCTCGGGGCCCCTCAGGGCATCCTCTGCCGCTGTCCCCGAGGCGCCGTGGTGCGCTCGCCCACGGAAGGCAGCAGGTGCTGGCCAGAGTGTCCGCGGCTCCCTCCCCCTCAGAGCCCCCGGCCGTACAGGGCCTTGTGGCGCAGGTACTCCTCGAGACACTGGACGGCCGCATCGTCCACCTCGGGGTCGAACTTGTTGGCCAGGAGATGGTGTTGCTGCAGCATCCAGGGCACGTCGCCCACCCCGTAGATGCAGATGGAGCGCTGGTGGCGGCCGGTGCAGGGCGGGTAGGGCGCGCCCTTGCTGATGTCCCCCTCCAGGTACTCCCACTTGACCAGGCGGGGAAGGGCGTTCATGTCCGAGAGCTGGAACTTATCGCTGAGGGGCGTGCCCCCCGGCACGCCCGGCATGCGGTTCAGGGTGGCCCAGACGTACTCGTCAGGGCTGTAGGTGTCCTTGGACCACTCGAGGAACTTTTGTGCTGTGGGGTTCTCGAAGACGTACCGCACGAAGTCCCGTGTGAGGGCGTTGTACGCGCTGCCCGTGAACATGGGGTAGCTGTGGGGCGGGGGCGGTTTCTTCTGGGCAGTGCGGGAGATGGTCTCGCCCACCTCGTGGTGGTACTGCCAGCGCTGCTGCTTGGCGGCCGAGGGCCTCTCCGACTCCATGGTGTTCTGGCCCTGCAGCAGCTGCAGCGCCCGCACCATCTCGGCGTTGGTCTTGATGGGGAAGTCGGTGCCGCAGGTGTTGATGAGGTAGCGCCACGGCACGGGGCTCTGCAGCAGGTCCTGCATGCAGTTGAGGTCGGCCTGCACCCGCGACCAGGAGGCGTAGACCACGCTCTCCAGGCGGCTGGCCACGAAGACATTGGGGAAGCAGGCGGCAATGGCCCTCACGGCCTCCTGGAAGGCGGCCGGGGCTTTGCTGTCTACATGGACGCAGTAGAGATTCTGGGGGGCGTAGACGGACCGCAGGAGCCGCTCAAACATGTCGATTTTGTGGTGGATGATCATGGAGTAGGCGATGGGGAACTCCTCCTCCTCCTGGCTGAGCGGGAACTCGATGTAGCGCCGGCTCTCCTTGAAGGCTCTGCAGTCCCTCGTAATGTTCAGGTACTCGCCGGGCGTCGGTGAAACCCTTCTCTTCGCCACCTCCAGGTTGTTGAGCTGCGCCCTCTCGATGGCTGTCTGGTCGCCGCGGACCACCCCCGAGCAGTTGATGCCGCGGCTGGGGGAGAGCTCCAGCCCGCGGTAGAGGCGCGAGCGGTCGGCGGGGCCGGGGCGGGCGGTGCCGCGCAGCCCCAGCGCGGCGGCCAGCAGCGCCAGCGGCCCGAGCAGCAGCGCCCAGCGCCGCCGCGCCGCCGGGGCCCGCTGCCAGCGCTGCATCCCGCCCGGGCTCTGCCCCCGCCGCTGGCAGCCCGGCACCTGCAGCCTCCGCCAGCTGGGGAAGCAGTGCCCGGGCGATCCCGGTGCGGCCGCAGGTGAACAACAGTCCCCTCCCTCCCCGTGGCGTGGCTCTGTTTGGTTTTATCAACACTGGGGGTGGTTCTATATCTTCTGTGTCTGTTTAAAACATGATATTTCATCTTACCCCTGTCCAACACGTAACGCAAGAAAAATTCCTCTAGAATTTAACCCTCTGTAATTTTTTAACCTTTTTTGAAAGATTTTACTAGATTACTTTGGTGTCTAACCTGCTTTTCCAGTGTTCTGATTGATAGGGAGGATGTGCGCTAATGTCTTCACAAAAAATTCGATGGGAGAAGGTGTGGGTGTTAACGTCTCTACTAACTTCAAGCAGCAGGTTTGTTGGAGTCCAGACAGTTTGACTCCCGAAACAGGCAAGAGTCTGCACAATCTGAACTTCTGTGGTATACATAATGTGTCAGAGACTTGTAGATATTCAGGTTTATAGGTAATAGGTAACTTAAACTCATGGTGAATCAGCTTGCTGCCTCTCTCCAGAGTTATTTGGACTGGTTATGTGAGAAATACCTAACCCTGCATGAGGCCTGTAAAATTATTTTGCAGGTCCACACCTAAAAATACTTAGGCTGGCTCTGATCTTCCTTTAATTTTTGGTTATGTAATAAAGTATTAAGCAAAATTCGTGATACTGTCACTGACTGCTATTTAAGCAAAATTTTTCCTAGGTATACTTTGTATGTAATTTGCTGTCAAGTACACATCTTGTAGTAAGATACAGTATCCTCTTGTGAACCACTATATTCCACTTTTTTCATTTGTGTTCACATAAGGAATGTTATTTGTGTCAAGTAGTAATGGCTCTTTTCAAAAGAACTATTCTTTTAAATTTCAAAAGAACTATTCTTTTAAAAATCAGTATTTCCTGTGAACTGTGACAGAAATTGAGAAAAAATTACACTTCCATCTTCTTGGCTGTTCAGATTTTTTTTACTGTCTCTGCTGGTATTGTGATACTTATCTAAAAATCATGGGATTATGTTTGGCTTATAGTTTTGAGTTTATAGTTTTAAAATTACCAACAAACATTTGGAAAATTTCATGATAGCTTTCTCATTATGTATCTTCAGACACCAGAACTTTCAGTGTTCTTTTTATATGGAGTATTTGGCACATACTCCAGAGTGGGAAAGTGAACAAAGCACAGGTGGGAAGTGAACAAGGAAGTACTGAGGTTTTAAAATAAATAATATGCAAATATAAGTATATTGTATAGGTACACTTTATCTGTAAAACTTTAACATGATGAACCTTGTGCACGTTCTGCTTTTTGAAACTGGAAACTGTCTGATTATAGACTTCCTCTTCTGCTTGCTTCTGTTTAATTTCAACTGAATTACGTGTCAAAGTCCTGTACTAACAGTTCAAACTGTATTGTTACAAGCTGCTGAGATTGCATGCCCAGTGGCAGAGTCTTGGCTCAGTTTGATGACAAGATATATGTCAAGTTCATCTTTGAAGAAACTGTTGGATGTTAATTTTCCTTTCAGCGTTCTGCTTCATTGTTGGTTTGTGACAAATGTTTTGAAAGCACTACATGCAGTACCTCTGACCTTGATTCAGAAAGGACATAAAAAGGTACCAGGAAAAAGCAGTAAGTAAAATATCCAACCACAATAATTTTTGTAGCACACATACCAGTTCCTGTTATTTAACTGAGCCCTGCCTGATGCTATTCACCTTACAGCTGCAGACTCATTGCTCTGCTCTTTCTGGACCTCTGGTGCACTTTCAGTGAAGTCAGAGGATTTCTGCTTTGATCCAATACAAAATTGCTGGACTGAAGAGCATAAGTGAGTATGGCTTAGAAAAAAGCCAAAGTAGACAATCATAATTCACCTGTAGCTTACAGGATAGGATAGTATTGGTTACTTGAAATTTTACACAACAGCTGAACACTGCTCATAAAGTATAACGAGTTTCCTTATTACATTTTTATAATAAAGCATAATAGGGTGATAAAGCATTACTCACCTTATACAGATTGCTGAAGAGACAGGCAAATAAATAGGATGATGCTGGTAAAGATATTTAAAAGAATTTCCTTTAAACCACTCTTAAGACTGGGACTGTTTCTGACTGTGGTGCCCAACACTCTAAGCTGGACTATGTCCTTGGGCAAGAAAACCTGTTTTTTTCTTGAAGGATGTAACACAAAGAAAACACAGTGATACTGGGGATCATAAATACATTAGCTCATGCTGCATTGTTTCCAGGAAAGGGTTGCTTCATACATCATGGGAAATATAAACAAAACAGAAAACAAAACTCTTTTAGACAGATGATAGAGGAGTTCACGGCTACAGGAATAAAGAACTAAAAAGAATGGATTTAATTTTGTACATTTCTCCCAGTGAAAACCCCATTATAACCGTCCTGTTGAGGAGATTGTTTCTTAAGAGATAAGGGACTTTCTGAAATAGACACAAATGTTACTGAGAGAGGTTTTTGTCTTTTACCCTTAAAAGCATTTTAGTTTTATTTCTTGCCTTGTTTTCAGCTGTCTAAATAGTATTCTGAACTTTAGGTGTTTCTGTTCTGTGGTAGAACTTTTATCAATTTATCACTGTTCTGTGCAGTTCGATTTGGTCACAAGTGGAGAGTCTGCCACAACACACAGACACATGCACAGAGTGAGGGCTGCCACACAGATCATGTCCAAAGCCTGTGTGTAATGGAGATTGTTGCTTTCATGTCTCTGTGGCTGCCCAGAAATATTTGAATATGTTTAGACCTACAGCTGGTCTGGTTGCCTGTAGGTACACAGTTCATGGTGATTGTGAGTGGGGCTGTGGCCCTTGTCCCCAGTGGGCACAGCTGTGAGAAGCAGGTGAGCAATGAGCCATGGAGTGCCCAGGGAGCAGAGGGCACACAGGGGCAGTGCATGAACGTGATGGGGATAAAAGGCTGGGCTAAAGAACAAAAAGGGCAGATGCTTGCAGCCTTCTGACATTACTCTGTATGGTTTGAAGCTCTCTGGAATTGTATGGGGATACTCTGTGTATTGTGGCCCTCCCCACTGCAAGGTGTGCTGTTAAGTATGCTGTGACAGTTGCCCTTGAATGTCCCACAGCTGGCTAAGAATACTTTGGGCTGGGACTTTATCCAGTTGCTGAATGGGTATTGCTGAGTTCAGTAAATTTTCCCTCAATGTTTGGAGGATTCACACAGAGCACTCCTTACCTTCACACTCATAGAATGCACTACAAGCAAAGGAGAAGGAATCGGTGGGGAAAAGGTGATTGTCATCTAGAACTGTTGTTGTGGGCTATTCAGTTCTGTTTGAAGTTCCCGCCATGTGCTGCCCTTGTTCTGGCTGCAATTCTGCAAAGAAACCCAAATATTTAATAACAGCTTGAGTGCCCTGCCTTTTTCTGCCATGTTTACAGCAAAAGTTAATATGAAATTACTTTGTAGGGGGAAATGCAGTTGTGGGGTGTGTAGTACCATTTTTTCCTTGTTTCAGGTGATCTATTTACTTCATATTTTCACCCTTTAAAATTCTCCTATACACTTGACACTTCTGCTTCCTTATACAAAGCTAGGAGAAACATTAGCTGCACTTAAGTCAGAGAAAATCCTTAAGGTTTTTACTGCTTATTGTTTCATTATTTTCATGCTTATAAGATATCTCTACAGCTTGTCTGTCTGTGATGTTTTCACACTGCTGTAAACTATCTCCAGGGAAAAAGTTAGCAATAGCAAAAAAGAAGCTTTCTGTACAGCAGGTAAACAGCTGAGGTCTAGAACCACTGAGGTGTTTGAGCATCTCACCTCCAAGTAGTCAGTGCCTCAGTATGTGGATCTGTATTCTGGAACAGTTCTGTGCTGCATCTGTGGTGCTGATGCAGCAGACAGCAATTGCATCTTTCCTCTGGCACCTATTATGTGCTGGTGTGTCCTGCCCCTGCAGGGGGGGACAAAGAAGGAGCTGGGTTTTGAGGAGCATTTACTGTGCAAAGACTGAAATATTGATTTAGCTGACTGAAGGTCATGCTCCTCAGTGTGTGCAAATGAGCATGACTGGGCTTATCTTTGTGAACAAAGATGGTTATGGTAGAGCTAGATGTCAGTAAATCAAAGGCTGGCATATGTATTTCTGCTTACTATACTTACTAAAAAATATACAACACGAAAAACCCCCAAAACAAGCCAAAAAACCCAATAGCTTTTAACCTTCTGGTGTGAATTTTCTGCCTACAAAGTGATGCCATTCTCCACAGTTTTGGCACTTGTTTTAGGCAAATAGTGTGTTTTGAAGGAGTACCAAAATGTAGGCCTGTGGTAAAACACCTTAAATACAAATTCAACAGTGGGAAGGGGAGTAGTAGTTTAGTCTTAAAAAGACACAACACTGGCATGTCCTTCTCTTCATGTTATTTTCAGTTTTAGATTTGGATGAAGTATTTTTTGCTACTTCTACTTCTTCTGTGTTTCAGCAGTGAGGGTGTTAGAAGTCCAGTTTATACAACAGTGGCAATAAATGTGAGTGGGACTGTGTGAATTGAAACACTCTTTTTCACTGAAATCAGATGGAGAGGAAGAACAGAAGTGTATTTTTGTTTTACTTCAAATGGATATTTTCATATTTTTTACCTGAACCTTTAAACTCAGCTTTGCTCTGATATTAGCTAAAAATGTGGAGTGTCTTAACTTCTCTTGTTGGAATAGTCCGTATACCTGAATGAGAGTTTCAGTGATTTGCTGGTCTTTAGGTTACTTCAGATTACAGATTGTGAATAGCTGTTTCCAGGATATTTCACTCACCTTTTTAAAGCAATTGTGCTTGTTGTCACAAGTAGCTATTAATCACTTAATCTCTGGACTCTGTTGGCAACTGAAAGTCATAGAGCCAATGTCTTTATGGTTATGAAATAAAAATAGCTACTTGAATATCTGCATCACTAGTTGTTAGACAATTTGCAGAAGAGTGACATGGTACTATAAAATATATTTTCAGTTAAAAATTATTCAGGTCATTTTTCTTAGTCACAACTGAGATGAAA